TAGCAGGTGATTGCCCCTCATAACTGGATTAGGAGGACTCATGGGTTTGATGGCTATCAAGCACTTAGCACCATCCTGGCACACAGTTAGTGGTGGGTGGTGGAAAGAACAACCGAGGGCACAGGGCAGGGGAGTGAGGACTGGGACCTGGGCAAGAAGAAAATGACAGGTGCCTGGGCCTGGGAGTGGGACGGAGGACTCCTCCGATCAGCTGCGGGTCTGGCTGCATTGACAATGCAGGTGCAGGGAGGGGTATTTGCTGCTCATTTATGAACAAATCCACTCTAGTTCCTTTTCCGTCTTTGAGGCTTCATGGCGGGCACTGGTCACACCAGTCAAGGAGATGGACATGTCCCTGCCCTCATGGAGCCCCCAAAACTAAACAAATAATTATGTAATTCTTATATACTAATCATCACCCTGTCGTTACAAACTCCGAGAGGCACTGCTATGAAGCGGAAATGCAGGGTACTGTGGAAGAGAATAACGGGCAACTCAACTGAGATTGGGGTGATCAGCCAAGGCCTCTCAGAGGAGGTGCCATTTTGGCTGGAATCTGAAGGACGAAGAGGAGATTGCTGGATTAAGAATGGGAAGAGTGTGTGTGTGGAAAGGCCTTGAGGAGCTCAGTTTTTTGTTTTGTTTTCGGAAATGAAAAAAGCCATTGTAACTGAATCAGTAAGTGACTGGGGTGAGAGGTGGGATGATGGGACGAGGTGGGGGCTGAGGAGAGGCAGGGACTTGCAGTGCCTTGGAGGCCACATTGCTGGGAGCCGGGAGCCAGGTGGGAAGGGAAGTGAGAAGGGGAAGGGAGGAGGGCTTAGTGGGTGGGTACCCCACGAACATGACTGTGCAAGTCACATGGCCTGGAGGCAGCGGCTCAACCCCAGGGCGCCCCCAGCAGGTGTAGATTGCCCAAGTCCACCTCCAGGGGCAGACACCTCTGTCTTGCTGTCCCCATTCCCCCAAGGCAGGAGCGGGAACCACACTTGTGGCTGCACTGACCAGCTGGAGGTCAGGCAGTCTACTCTGTGGGGCAGAGTGGGGCAGGTTGCAAAGACAACACAAGCTTGTCAGCAGTGATTTCTCCCAGCCAAGGCAGCCACCATCAGCTTCCTGCAGAGATGGGCCTGCTCAGCTTCACTCTCTACAGCTGGAGATGGAGGGGAGCAGATGGCCCTGCTTGGCCCAGATTCCAGCCAGATTGCCAGGGAGGTGTGGGCAGAGCGATGGGTTGGCGCCAGGAGCTGGAATACACAGGAGGAGAGCGGGAGCCACCTCTTTGCCATTGCTGTGGGGTCTTGCCTCTATGGGGTGGGGGGAGTGGAGACATCGACTGTGGCTTCACTGTGGTCCTTGAATCAGCAGCTGCTCAGAGTCCCCTGGAGAGAGAGGGCCTCTGTCTTTCC